AAGACCGTCCATCATCATCGCCTTCTAGCTTTCAATAAACCGACTTGATTGATATGTGGGGTTTAACGTCCAAAACCACTATATGGTTATGAAGAGACTCCGTAGTGAGGGCTCCGGAAATTTCGACCACCTGGGGTTCTTTAACGTGTCACCAAAATCTGAGCACACGGGCCTACAGCATTTCCGCCTCCATCGGAAATGCAGCTGCCACAGCCGGGATTCGAACCCGCGACATGCGGGTAGCAGCCGAGTACCTTAGCACTAGACCACCGCCGCGGGGGCAATAAACTGACTTAACCGATGAAATATGTTCTGTTAGACAGTTTCTGGACAAAGACAAAACTTAAGACGCAATTTTAAAGTGATTGGAAATTTCGACAAACAGCGGTTGAGTCTACAGGTATCATGCATGCAATAACATATGGTGGCATATTGTGCAACGGCTGAGGTTATCGGTCTTGTCACATTGCATCAGCGTTTCCCTTGAGTAACGCGAGTTTCTCATTTAGTAGTAGGCTGATAGCATTACTTCGCAAACAGTGTTAATTTGTTGCAATCGCACTTACTCAGTTTGCCTTTGTGAGGCAAACTGTAAAGTTGTTTTTCGTTAGCCCAAGTTCCCCCTCCTAACCAGATAAACAGCCAGAACAGTGTCATCTATTGTGATGCCAGGGTGTAAGTATTGCGCCTTTTTATTCTGACATTTGCCTGTCCAATAAATAAAAACTTTCATAAGTGCTCTGAGCAGGCACTCGCTTTTTAGGAGGTCATTGTAAATACACCTTGTCCTTTGCGCTTGAAGTTCTAAATACCTGTTTGGAGAGACACACTGAGAATGTAATTACCAATGCTCAGGAGTTCTTGTTCTTTCTATCAGAATTTGACTGCACAGAATTGTCTCGAATATTGTGTGAAGGTGAAGGAACAGCAGCAATCACGCACAATACGGGAACTGAAAGCCATGCTATTAACCTTTCATTAATTTTGGAATCCTTTGCGCACTGCCATGTAGAATAAATTGCAGTGCTTCTGTGTGCTTCTCTTTCGCCGAAGACGTTGAGAAGATAGTGTGCTGTGGCACCTTCTCATTTCCTTCGTATCATAGCTTGATGCCTGTGTTTTATAGTGTTTTCATGGTACTACGGACATCTTGCTGCGTTTACAAAGCGGCACAGTGGAACGACTGAGACTGGTTTCGAAATCCTTGTGGTATGCTAGCGATACCTTAAGTGTGATGCACGTTAATAGAATTACATAATAAGCCAGAACAATTGTATGAATGTAAGCTCCTTATTTCGTTAATGTGGTAATCTCTAAATAGGTCAGTGCAAGTGTGGCCTATTCGGAGGTGCTTTTTCAGTGATCAATGCTTGCCTGAAAGAGCCTTCATGAAGACCAACTCGCGCGCTGCTGTACAAACCCAGTCCCCTAGCCAGCAGGAAAAACCACCAAAAAAATCACTTTAGCATACTGAGCAATTTAAGTCTAGCGCGCTGGACTCGAGCTGAATCACCTCACGAGAAGTACCCATTTCAACCAAAGAAAACCATTGTACAATGCGAATATTAACGTTCAAGTTGTCATGAAAGCTTTTTGAAACTAAACAAGGGAAGATTTTTAAGGTATAGTAACTATTCTACTGAGGTAAACATACTGCCAACGTGAAGAATTTATCGACGTCACAGCTGCATGCCATAGCAAAAGCGAGTATGTCAATGATGTTACTTTTAACTTCACTAGTGTGTTTTTAGCAGAAGTCATGTGGTTGATATCTTATCCACTTGTCTTACTCTCAATAGGCTACCTTGTGCTAATAATGTGGAAAAGGCTAGAGGACGCAGATTGAGACACTAAGCAATTGCGGCACGGCGTGCAGGGGTCCTTCATGTATTGTATAAATATTTTGATCATGAAGTGGTCCATGTGCTGTCGTACATCCTATTTCATGACTGACATAAGTTATGCGTTTAAAAGGTATTACGAAAGACTTGAATGCTTGAAAAAAAACCCGAAATGTGACCATCGAAGACGTCGCTAATGAATGTAAAAAACTCTACAAATTAGACTGTGACTTGATGACGCCAACGTAATCTCTACATCCCAAACGATGCAACGTTGTAACGTCTACGATCTTCTTGGTAGCAATATGATACCACTAAACATTTCACCACATAATCAAGACAAGCCAAGTGATCCGTGCGTGGTGAATGGTTCGTGGATACCAGAAATAACGGGAAAGCAGGTGATGCGGAGGAATCTTTCAAAATCTCTTATCCTGAAGACAGTGCAAAGCCACCTAAATACTTTATAGAGGACACGATGGTTGATTATAGAGTACCGGCAATTACTTATTGTGTAAGGCCCGTTTCTATGCGGCGCACTTATTATTAGGAGGAGGCGGTAACATAGAATTTCTTTAATATCAATACCTCTCAAAACCAGGGGAATTATAATATTCATTAGTACAAATAATATGTGGCCAAATGCCAACATTAGCAAGAACATACGGACTTAAATCACAATACTGTCACAAGCCTCTTCCATGAAAGAGGATGGGTTGAACGCGAAACTTTTCATTTGGGCGAAGCTGTACTCGCGGTAAAGTAGAGGTCAAGCTACGAGTGATACACGCTGTACACTGATAGCGAAGAGAGCGTCGGCCTTCGATAATCTTATCTCATGCTTAGGTGCGGAAGTATTTACGCATGTAGCATCAAATGCTCGAGTTAGGTCTTCGGTGACGGCGCTAGTTCAAGAATAATCTCGATTGTTTTGCTTTCAAGTGGGCAAGCCTTGATTGATATTTGGGGTTTAACGTCCAAAAACCTCTATATGATTATGAGAAACGCCGTAGTGGAGGGCTCTGGAAATTTAGGACCACCTGGTGTTCTTTAACTTGCACCCAAATCTGGGCAGACGGGCCTACAGCATTTTCGCCTCCATCGAAAATGGAAAGGGCAGCCGCCGCAGCCGGGATTCAATCCTGCGACCTGCGTGTCAGCAGCCGAGTACCTTAGCCACTGGACCACCGTGGCGGGGCAAGCGGGCAAGCCTATCAGAAGGTTGAAATTCTGGAAGGCTCCCAGACATTGTGCGAGATTCGTGAAAAGCACTGGTTAAACTAGGCACCGTAGGTGGATAGAAGTACGAAAAACAGCATGTTTTGCAGTAAATTGTCCTGGGTGAAGATGCTCCGACAGGACCTATAATTCAGGCTGGAAAGCTGTGGGAGATCGTGCTGCTTATCTTGGCTCCCGAAGGAACAATCTTTGCTGCCCAGCAGGCCGGAGACGCTGGTAGAGCGTAATGGTTTTGTGACCACTGGAACAAGATTGCTGTGGCACACTGCATAAATATTTTATGTGAAAGACTGTTGGCCTTGGCTGATCGCTTCATACATGCGTTTCATATTGTACATGAGCAAAAAATGACGAAGTATTAAGCCTTTGGCATTCACGTAAGGCGTCCACGAGTAAGATGATGCTGTTCACGTGGCAAACACGGTAATCTAAGTTCTTGTGTTTCAGGTACGAAATTAGGGGTTGCATTTCAGTTATTTCCTGATCAAGGAGACAAGAATTGCAATGCGTGCTGCCATTTTAGAATACTACAATCGTTCCCTGCTGCGAAACACGGCATTTAATTTTCACTGAATTGTTTCTGATGATTAGGCCAATTCCGTTCTTTATTCATGACGCAAGAATTAAACCCCTGCAAAGCGTGCTCAACCTTCAATAATATATGAGTAAATCAAAGTGTCTCACTGTCGCATAAAATCTCTGTTCTAAGGGAAGGCTTCATAAAACTAGCACCTATAAAGAATTCAACGCATGTATCTTTGTGAACGCAAACTTGCATTCCAGTTTTAAGAAATAACGCTCGTGTGTGCAGACATGAACCATGGTGTGACGGTCCGTGTAGAATTGATACAAAGATACGCGCGATGTTAGGTGATAAAGAAGGCTCTTATGTCTAGGATAAAAAAAGCAATAGTATTACTCTAGTGTAGACCTCATTATATACGCTTCTTTCGGCAAAATAACAAGTTATGTAAAAAACTAGGTAAGAAAATACGACGACGTTAGGAAACAACTTGACGGAGACAGTCGCGGACGACGTATAATGGCGTCATCGCGTGACCTGGCAAGTTTTGCCCATCCTTGTCGTTAGGATCATGTGACATTGTGATGTCATCAAAAGTGGCAATTTTCGCAGCTCCTTTCCTGACGGTACTGGCACAAACGAATAATTTTTAAATGGCGCATTTGAGGCTCTCGTCTTCAAAATTCACTCACTGCGTATCACACGGCAGGTATGTGGCTAAAGTGGCGTGTTACAATGAGGCCCCTTCAAGGGGTTTGCAGCAGGTGTCTAGGTAACGGGAACGTAAATTACAGGTTATGCAGATGAACCTGTTTACTGAATCATTTTGCTCGAACACACTGTGCAGACCTTCCTGAAGTGAGGCAGCTGAAATTGACAGAGATGGACAAGGATTCCATAACTGTTTCCTGGCAACCACCGGAGGGCTGCTTTGACGGCTACATAGTAGAAGTCGCTCCAGAAAACAGCGGAAGCAGTGGTGTTGGAGGCCTCAGTGTGGGCTCCTGTGCGGGTGGAATCAGTGTTGACGCTGAACACACTAGCATCACGTGCAGGAAAATAGAAGCTTGCAGCGTGAAAATCACCGTACGTAAGCACAGAAAAAAACATCTGGAGTTTACTTCACCTGTTGTCACCCTAAACAACGTTGTCATGTACAAAAAAGGTATTTTTATACACCCTGCGTGCGCCTCTTTGCAATGCAAAGGTTTTGAAGTTTATAATCCACTAATAACCACCTAGTGACCAAAAAACTCAAAGAAAGCTGTGCAGCTGTTCAGTTTCATGCTTTAGGGCTTCGATTTCTACTATTTCTCTTCCTATAGTATGATTGGTGTGTTTTAGCAAGTATATTTTCTTTACTGAAAAAAACCAGTGCAAGAGGTTCGAAGTTCAGGTGCACTGTAGCGCCTTTCACTTTGAATTCGCAAGCTAAACCTGCGGATATCACAAATAATGGCACTGTAAATTTATGGGCGCCTTTTTTCATATCAGTAGCTCCTGAGCTATCTTTGCATGTAAAATATTCATTTCGATAACTTTGTTTGGTATAAATGCCCATCTCTACTTTTATTGATTGCTTCCATCTGCAGTACGGTCGATCTGCATGTTCATACCCCTCCCTGAATAGGAAGCTCAATCTCAGCACCTCCAAGCAGCAATCACCATTCCCTCAGAATAACAATATGTAATTGCGCTATTAAACACCCATAAAGCACTGGCGCTTCAGCCCTTCTCATGTAACTGTCAAAGTGTACAGTAGAATAATGGTGCATCCCAGTGCATTTTGTGTTCCTCAGTTTTAGAACTTTTTGGTCAAATACTCTTGGTTGTGTTAATCTGCGACTTAGAACTGTTCAAATATGTTCCGTAAACGTTTTAGTTTGTCTGTTTTTGAGTTTTGAAGTACACTTGCAAGCTGCTTGTTGTCCATTTCTCTAAAGCTAATTTATTGATTTTTTTTATGTGGTCGTGTTGACGCCTAATACAAACTGCGAACTAACGAGGGCTTTTGACACGCTGTTTGCCTTTATCTCTAGTTCCTGCAGTGAGCTTTGTCGTATGCTTACTCTAAATAAAGGAATATTACTACTATCACTACTAATGCTAAAAGCCCACTAGGGCATTACCGATATATATATATATATATATATATATATATATATATATATATATATATATATATATATATATATATATATATATATATCATACCTTACTCTTACAGACCTACCACACCAGTATAAATTTCAGCAAGAGTCCGAGTATAAATATCAGTAGTAATGCAGGCATTATAGAATATTAGTGAAGAATACTTGTATACAAAGCAACTGGAAGAGGTCAATACCTGTGCGCAGAACCCTGAACACTCCATGAAAGTGTGATTCCAGTGAAGATGGGCGTAAAGCACGAAAATATAATCTTTGCAGACATATTCACTGCATCTTTACTGTAGGTTGATGAACGCTGTGGAGCGATCAGGTGGGGATGAAGGAAAGACGAATTGTGTTGATTAGTTGGTCATCCATATCGGCTTGAGACAAATCTGTACATATAGAATGACAAGGTAGAGAAGAAAACTGACGAGGACAAGTGCTTTTCTTCATCGCCTTTGTGTTTGTCATCGTTTTATTTGCACTAACTGACAGCACCAACTTGGGATGCCCGAATGGCCGTAAACTTTGGAGAGCTGGTGCTTTGAGTGAGGATAGCATACGACGCAGAAAAGCAGGTTTCAGACGGGTCAGTTGAAGTCTTCCAGGCGCTTGTAGCTCGTAAACTCTTCGATTTCTTCTAGATTATCAGGCAGGTTCTAAAATAAAGCGGGCTTCATATGTCCTCATAGCCACTCTTCGTAATCTCGCTCAGGAGAGAGAGAGAGAGAGAGAAAGATAAAGATGCAAGGAAAGGCAGGGAGGTCAACCAGACGCACATCCGGTTTGCTACCCTGCACTGGGGAAGGGATGAAGGGGAGAAAAGAGGTTGCACATAGATAAGAAGGTACACACAATCACGAGCACACTCGGGGGAGCACACACAGTGTACAGGCGGTCGCTCAGGTTTGTTGAATTTAAGTAAAGTAGGAGTGCTTTAGTCGCTTTCTGCGCAAGAGAGAGAGTGAGAAAGGAAAGGCCGGGAGGTTAACCAGATATTGGCATCTGGTTTGCTACCCAGCGCTGGGGGTGGGGAAGTAGGGGCAAAAAAGAGGGGTTAGATAGAGGAAAAAAAAAACGCACGCGCACTCATAAAAAAAAACGAAAACACACACAGGAAGGGCGTCCCAGCTACAACCGTTCAGCAACTGAGGCAGATGCCCAAGGTCCTAGAATATTCTGCACACAAAATGGTCTGGAGTCAAGTTGATTATCAACCATACGGAGCTGACATCGCTGTGTGTCGTAGCAAGCGCATCTGCACAGGACGTGTTCAATTGTCTCTTCAGCTCCGCAGTAGTCGCATGTAGAAGTGTCTGCCATACCAATGCGAAAAGAGTACACCTTTGTGAATGCAACACCCAACCAAAGGCGGCATAACAGTGTCGCATCGGAGCGGGAAAGTTGTGATGGTAGCGTTAGTTTGAGCGAAGGATCCAGTTCCTAAAATTGACACCTTTGGAAGATGGTAGACGACCAGGACGTGCGTGTAAGATCTCGAGCCAGCAGGTAAAGTTGTCTTGCTGCATCATTCCTTGATAGAGGAATCGGGACCACACGGGTTCCTTCATGGGCTGAGCGGTCTGCATCATCGGCTAATTGATTTCCGGTAATACCGATATGTCCAGGCAGCCATTGATATATAATATCATGCCCTCGTGCTAGAGCTTCATGATGGCAATGTCTTATTTCATGTACCAATTGTTCATGATTCCTCCTACGCATGGGAGACTGAATTTCTGAAGTGCTGCCTTCTAATCACAGAATATAATTCATTTTCACGAGATATTGTTAACATGCTTCAACAACTCCTGGCTCAGCGGCAGTGTTCGCCGAGAATGGAAAAGAAGTCGAATAATACCACTTCTGAAATCGAGAAAATCACCATTGGACTTGAAAACGTATCGCCCTATTGCCCTCGCAAGCTGCCTCGGAACAGTGATGTAAAGAATGGTTCTATTTCGTCTCGAGTGGTACTTGGAACAATACACCAAATACCCTTCTTGCATGGCAGGCTATTGTTGGGCCGCTCCTCCATCGACTGTGGCCTTGACTTATCATCGTTTGTTCAGCAATAAAAAAGTCGCAAGCGCATACTAGTGGCACTCTTTCTTGACGTGAAAGGTGCATATGATAATGTAGCTCACGATGCCATCCTCACTTCTCTCACAGCAATGGGCATTGGTGGACGAATGTTTCAATATGTTAAAGATTATATAACTGGCAGGGTTTCTTTGTGCAAACAAATGAGGGTACAACTGCCCAACATTACACCTACTGCGGAGTACCTCAGGGAGGTGTTTTAAGCCCCACATTGTTCAATGTGGCCCTCATTGGTCTGGTGAAGGTTCTGCCAAAGTCGGTGTGCCTACCCATATACGCCAATGATATTTGCCTCTGGAGTGCTGCAGTAACTCGCCCTCAGGTGCGTGCACGAATACAGCGAGCAGCAACCCTCACAACAGCCTCCCTTCAGAAACAAGGCCTAACTATATCAACTGTGAAGTGCGCGTTGATGGCGTTTACACGCAAACCAATGGCGCCATACCCTGTTTACACCAATGGGCAGAGTGTCAAATATGCACGGACGCATCGTTTCCTGGGAATAATAATCGACAGAAGTCTTTCGTGGAGCCCACAATGTGCGTACTTGAAGAAGAGACTGCTATCTATTGTGCATATAATGAAATTCATGTGTGGGAAAGCATGGGGAACTTCTGTGGCCTCCATGCTACAGGTGTACAGGACCCATTTTTTGGGTCTATTGCGCTACAGCTTGCCGGTACTGGCTAACACTTGCAAATCCAATATTCATTCATTGGAGAGTTTGCAGGGTCAGGCACAGCGTGTCTGCCTAGGACTGTCCCGATGCGCTTCTACGTATGCCACAATCATGCTTGCCAAAGACCATCCGGTCAGGACATATAGAGTTGTGGATTGCCTCAGAGCACACATTCGACATGCTAACCGTGTCCTCGACCACCACTTGGCCCTTATACCCTTCGGAAGACCACGTGCTACGTTTTCATACGTCATAGCCAAGCACCTAAACAGCATTTCATCAGGATATACGCCAGCTACGAGAATGGCATGTCCTTTGTGGTGCCTCGACCAGCCGCAAGTACGTCTAGAAATTCCGTGTATCTAAAAGAAAAGCAATCACTCCATGCAGAGTAGGATTGAAGCAAGCAACACTGCTATTATTACATGAGTTGTACTTTGACTGAACGCAGATATACACTGATGGGTCCGTCTCGTCCAGCAGCTCATCAGGTGCCGCTGCAATTCCGGCTGCAGCATTGACACTCAAATTTAAGTTGTCGCATATGACTACATCTACGGCATCAGAGCTTGCTGCTATAAAGGCTGCTTACAATATCTCGCTCAGGAAAGTGCTAATCAATGGTATGTCGGTGAACTGGTACCCCCCCCCCCCCCCCCTCGAAGGTGTTCTCTTCAGGAGGACCGCAGAGCCACCTTAAGTGTACAGTGTGGTTTTTCTTTGTGTCCATCTGTCTCAAACGATCATCGACAACGCAAAACTTTCGCTCAAGATCAAGAAAAGCGACACGGAAAACGAAAGCTATAACAAAAGCTTCGTAATAATAGTGTGTGAAAGAAAAGGCTTCGCCACTCAGCGCCTTCGAGATAGGGCGACTGTGAGGTGAAATGAGTGTTTGGTGTCCAATGGTTACTAAAATAATGAGCTGAAACGTTTAGCTAGAACCTCACTAAAGCACTTTGCTTCAATAGCATATTGACCAATGTCATCTACGTTCTTGCGCTTAATATTTGTGGCTGAAAACAGAGTGCAGTTGGTCTGAGAACACAATTTTTATGTTACAGATATTCCAGAGGTGCTACCGACGCTTGAAGTGGCTAATGACACATTTGTACAGCACTGGAACCGGACACCTGGCTGCTTCGACAAGTACAATCTCGTGGTCGCCTATCAACCTTACGAACATTCGATCTTTAAAACGCCACGTATTGGTTCATGTGTTGGGACAACCCATCTAGAGCCTGATGTTACAAGTGTTACTTGTTCCAAACTGCCAGCCTGCGTAAACACCAGTGTAATCCTGCGCACTCAGCGAAATGGACCACATGGACGTGTTTCACGTAGTGAAGCATTGTCTGTGTATTCTAAACAAGGAGGTAGGTGTTTGGGGCATTCTCTCGCACAACATTGCCGTGTTTACTTTTGAAGTGTTCAATAGAAAAGCAATTGTAACGTACCAAAGGTTTGCCATGTACGATGCTTGACTAGTCTTAAAAATTCTTGCATGTTAGAACGCAGGTTAATCTCAGGCTGCGTATGAATACACTGTCGGGGAGGTCAACAGCTTTGCTATTTGTGGACTGCACAATTCTTATGATACTGCTTCCTAGCTCTAGAAAAATATTACAATTGAATCGGCTTCTTAGTGTGTTGCTGTGATCACGCCAGAGCGCATTTCTTGGATTTTTGTAGGGTTCCCTTTCGGTTCGTGCCTGGAAAAGTTTGGAATTTGCTTAGTACGGCACAGCAAATGTGCTCCTGAATACGCTAATTGTCAATTATCCTTATGCAAACGCATGCATCATCATAGTCGTAACTGTTTTTCTCCTTTCTTGTAGGGCTAAGGCGACTGCGTTCAAACCACAGCTATCTTATGGCATTCAACTTATCAGAGTGTACCAGTTTATAAAGAGTAGTGTGCGAAATGGTCATGGGGAATTAAGATAAACACTATCTCCTAATGCGGACGCTCATATCGGAGGACATTTCATTTATAACATTTTACTGCATGTCTTCGCAGCTCTAGTGGACTTTGACCTGTACCTTGAAAAAGTGACAACGACTACGGCTGATATCATAATAGACCCACATCTTCCACGGTCCTGCCCACCGCGTTACTGCAGGGCGTTGATATGTCGCTTTTACAAGAGTGGAGCGATCGTGGTGGGTCACCATCTTTCACAACTCGCGCTACATTCAAACCCGCACAGCGATCTTCAGTAAAACTAATTTAGGAATCTTCAGTTTTTCTTTAGAAAATGGGCAATTCTAAACGCGCTGCAGTGAACCGGAAATATGTCCTTCCGTTTATGTCATTCTCTCACTCAACACGCTTCCAACCATGAAGAAATACGTCGATGATATACGCTAATCCTATTTTTTACCTTGTTCTGAACAAGAGCCATAACGCTGCCAAAGCGATAGTGTTCTCCGCTGTGGTACACATGTATGCTCATAAAGTGTGAATACACAAGAATCACGTGACTGCGTTGCACTCTTGACGCAAGGCAAATGTAACAGAAGAGCACTTTATGTTAACTTCAGGGTAAAGAATTTTAAGTCTTTTGCAGATCCAGAGGTAAACATCAAAATTATTGCGCAAAAAAAAAAACAGTTCCACCTCTGCAATATTGGGCCTAACAGGCGTTTCAGTATGGAGAGCATGTGTGTGCCATACGAAGACTAGATACTGACATGTGCAAAAAATATGAAATGTGCAATTCTTACGTCGTTTAAACACAACGTTCTTTCTAAATATCACAACAAAACTCTATGCTAGCGCCTCAGTTAAACAAATCACACAAGTGATTGTGCAAAAAAAATTTAAAGCATCTCAGCGCGCACGTGAATACAAACGAATTTTTCATGAACTTCAGACCGCTTCTTCCCAACGCAGTTCAATAAGAAGATTCAATGTGTGAACACGTATCGTCCAGGTAGCTGTAGTGCGCTGCATTACCTATATGATACAAGGAAAGGGTGTTAATTGTGCTCGACCGTCACTTTAAAGCATGGACGCGTTCACATATCACCCAACGAGCACATCGGCCATTCTTTGCTTATTGCGGCTCGATTGTTTTGGTTTCCGTTTTTCTTCGCCTTTCGTAACTACTTTCGTAAAAATAGGAATGCAAGAAAAATAGGGATCAACACTCCAAGACAAACTAAGTTTTCAGTTTCAAAACACCTTTTGGCGTAACTGCGTAATAAATTTGCAAGTGATTGCATGTTTTTGTGTTTGCTTCACTGTTATTATTGTTGTTTTTCCTATCTCACATTGTACCTTCTCCTTGTTTCTGTAACACCCTTTCGGCCCTGAGGGTGTTATAATATTCTATAAGGATTGACAGAAAAATCAATGCAATATATCAGTCATCGTTAGAGGTGGCTGTTACCAATGCCATTCGCTGTACTATTTACAAAGCTGCGAGGCAAGTTTCTTATTGTAGTTACTATAGTTCAGCAACTTTTCGCAGTCATTGTGATTTACCTCATATAGGTATTTTAGAGCACTCTAACTACAGTACCTTGATGACGCATAAAGAAGTGTATACGTGGCGAACATTTGTCATTTATTTATTGCAGCGTACTTGTTGGGGTGTGGAGTGCGAGGCACGTGTTTCATACAGTAGCGAAATGGTCGTGAAATTGAAACATCTCACTCCTGGAGGATTTCATACGTGCAGAGTTACCCTCAGGTACAACGATGAAGTCGCAAAACAAATTGGATTCAACGCCGTTCAATGTAAGTCCGCCAGGCGAAAAGTGAATTTCAAACGCTTCCATCAGAAAACCTTAGGTCGACATTTTCGTCACTGTTACACCATGGAATGTCGTTTCAAGTATGGTAAATAATCTTAACGCAAGCTATTTTACTACCACTGTGTTTCCAAAGTCGTAAGTTTATGAGATGCTAAAGCCAATTTGATCGCCCACCTCGGTATTGAATAGTTTACAGCGTTTTACTGTTAGTTGTGCAGTCTTTTTTCGAGTGTATGGTTTTACCGAGACAGCATAAAGATCTTGTGTCTGATTTATATGTGTGGTTTAACGTCCCAAAAGCACCATATGATTATGAGAGACGCCGTAGTGGAGGGATCCGGAAATTTAGACAACCTAGGGTTCTTTAACGTGCACCCAAATCTGAGCACACTGGCCTACAAGATTTCCGCCTCCATCGGAAATGCAGTTGCCGCAGCCGGGATTCAATCCCGCGACCTGCGGGTCAGTAGCCGAATCCCTTAGCCACTAGACCGCCGTGGTGGGGCAAGAGCTTGTTTGTAATCATCATTTTGAGCAGGAGTGAAAAATCGAAGAAGATACAAAGAAAACAGGAATAACAAAGTCTGGGTCTGAATGAGAAATGAATCGGGGTCGTTTGCATGGCAAGCATGTGATCTACAAAACAGCCACGCATCTGATTCAAAGTACAGTGGAAATAACTTATCTTACTTGAAAATTCAATCAAACTAACTTGCATGCTATGAAAACGCAGGCGTCCGTTATACATGCTTTACAATACAATATGCAATATTTGATTAATGTGTGGTACAAGCGTACATTGCGGTTGGATGTAAGAGGATGCAACGAGGATGAATCCAAGGGTTGAATTGGGCCACCCACTACGAAAAACAAACGCGTTACAGCGTCTTTTACCTGAAGGCCACGTAGTGGGTGCACAGCAAATTTGAAAACACTTCACGCGCGCAATTGCCACTGGTTTAAAGCATGCTACCCATCACACGTGAATGCAGCCATATTCGAAAGTTTCATTTGCGTAAGCCATTTTAACTCAGTGCGTACTAGGGACAGGAAATTCGTTATCGCGTTGGACTCATGAAGGCGAAGCCTAATGATTTCCCAATTTTCTTTACCAGGGTTCATTGACGTCTCTGCTTAAGCAAGCCGTAAAACAGCCATTGTATGATGTTTATACTGTTGCTGACGCATGCTAATGTGTTGCCCTACATATCAGTAATTAAAATATACCAACACGAAAGATTTCTTCGTCCGTCTTTCCCTTTCCCACTCAATGTTGTTTTACGGCTCACAATAAACTCATTTTTGACCAAATAATGAACAATGAGCTATCTTACTTTGCCACGTCAGCAGATAATTGCAGAATGAGTGTTGGTTAAAGGTACTGAAGAAAACTCGTCCCTTGTTTGTCGGCGTACGTCTTGCGTAACCTGAAAAGAGAATATAAAAAAAACTGTCTGACAAGAAATGAAATTTCGAAAAGAAAGTATTAAATGCCTCATGAAACGCAAAAATGGGCTATCGGCGACGCCTACCCAAGTGAGGCAGAACATATTCATCTGACGTCATAACATGACGTTATCAGAAAGTTTCAGATTGCTAAATTTCGTGATGTTGTTCTGTTCGTATGAAAGCTCTACAGCCGGGTGCCAAAAAGCCCCTCAACATACAAATACACAAAGTCCTCATGTGTCTCTAGTAAGGCGGCAGATACGAGTATCGGTAGCAAGTTGTGAATAGAGCCCATAGTCTATGGTCGGCGTGGTATGAAAAAAGTCAAGCTTTGCTCGGTAGTAGCAATACTGGCCTAATACGCTGTCTTGAAAAAATGAATTTTTTATTGCAGTAAAAAGTTCATCATAGTTTGGGTTCTTTTGTGTTTCACTTTGCGAGTTTTAATTCAAACAAAGGTGGCAACAAAATTACGACGCTGAGAGAGTGAACGTATTAATGAAATGTGGGAACCACTCTTGTATTCTTGCTCATTTTTTTAAAACACCCCTTTCTAACATTTCATTGCAGAGCAAACACCCTGTACCACATGGTCTGAAATGCTCCCTGTCAGAGGAAAACACGAGCGACAAAAGAAACGTCCTCACCTGACCCATCCTTCAGCTGAGACTTGGATTGGTAGTCGTCGCAATGGGTAAAAAAAAACTGAGATGCCTGCCAAAAAGAAAAAAAGTTATATCACCTCATTTCTGCAAAAAATAAGACAATAAAATTTTGTGCGCGCATCAGAACGTATTCGTACACCGAGTTATGTTTTACCCGGCTCCCGGCATCATGAATACGAATGGTGTTGAAAATATTTCATGCGGACATAGGAGGTAGTGCCAGAAAGACAGAGGTACTGAGAGTTGGAAAGGAAGTGAACAACGTTATCTAAAACGAGTAGGCCTAGTGATTTTGTTCATCCGCTCCTATCGCACTAGACGAGGCATCGGACGGACGTATGGGTGGAGGCTTTGTCATCATTCACTCAGCGTATATGCTGCGAATTTTTTATAATACGAAAACCACTGACGCAATCTAGTGATACGACGCTATCTAGTGAGCAATTCCTAAATATAACTATAAGTCGCTACTACTACAACATACCACTACTATACGACGGAACGAGCCACACCCTAAAAAGTTTCGCCCCTAAAAATGACTGACAAAGTGGGGGAGCACACTCTTATACCATACATGTCACACATTATAACGACCGCAAACGTGTATTCATTACGCCTCGGGAAAAGATTAAGAAACCAACCGATGGATCAACCAATCATTACCCTTATTAATGAGAAACGCTTGCAATTGCGCCTTAGGCCTCGTCTTGCCGGGTCCCTTTGGTCACCGCAGTCAAATGAATGACATTGAAACCGATGCGTAATCAGTAATTTTAACTCATTTACCCTTTTTATAAACACGTTCACTTAAGGTGTAAATGAAGACTTCTGAATCATGGTTTTTTGCTGCCGGGATGTCCCGCGGTATAGCTATATGATCACCCACGGTTGCCAGGTTGTTCGGAAGGAAAATCGGGCCTGTTTCCTGCTCCTAAGTGGGATTTGGCGCTTGCATTAGACAAAAGATGTCTGAATGACGTACGGCGAGAAAACTGTTGCAAGGCGTCTAATTTAGGAAACCATCTATTGAAGAACGTGACTTTAGACACCCTTGTCCTGCATACACGGGCGCGTTCTTCCTTGTCGAACATCCTTCTTTGTGCTTCAGCGATTGGCTACAAGTACCAGTCGGCCTGTGGATTTTCGTGTGATATGCCAAGTTCTTCGCCCTTGTGGTGAAACTGACTTTTTAAAGTGGGCAATACTATTGAAACGCCATGAAATAGGTGAGATTTTCACTCACCAAAATTTTTACTTAGATATTCAATTAGCTGTCTGTGCTATTTCTTCGTATGAGGTAGGTTGTGAAAGGCGGAATTATTAGCTGCTCGTAATTAGTCATTCATGTTCGAAACTATTGCCGAAGTGATGACAACTGATGTGTCGATGCTAGAAACTGTCATCTTGAGCGCACTAGTGCAGTGCTAGATTTTATTGTCGTCACAAGGCGGGTACTTCTATTGCTTTACTAACTTACCGCAATGCTCGAGAAGGGTGTTGTTACTGCAGCGCTGCAATAAACTTTGGCATCCTTCATGAAAGAATTACTTAAGTCGAGATTTGAAGCTCGGATTTATGAAAATTACGCCGTTAATTTGCTATTACTGCACACATTTGGATTCCTTCGAAGAAACCTTGAATTGAACCACAAAAATCAAAATGTCGCACTTGTTCTTACATATCCATGGCAATTTTTAGTACTTTCACTACCATTTGCTCAAGTTAGCCAGTTTGGTTTTTCTTTTTAATCTTCAAGCTTTTTTTTAATTTTCGCTCAGCAACCTCGATACTCGCAGCCTATGCACGTTGCGTGATGAGGTAAAAGCATAGCGAAAGGTGAAGTATAGTATAAAACTGGTATAACTGGGGAAAAAACGACAACAACAACAACAACAACAATAATAATAAGAATAATAATAATAATAATTTAGGAGGTTTATCATCCCGAAACCACCATAATATTATAAGGGACGCCGTAGTGGAGGGTTCCGGAAATTTCGACCACCTAGGGTTCTTTAACGTGCCCCCTAGTGTGGCCACATGAGCCTACAAAATTTTCGCCTCTATCTAAAATGCAGCTGCTACAGCCAGGAAAGGGTGAGACAAAGAACAGGAGGAGGGGTGCAGTTGGGGGAGAGAACTAGTGTAAGTGAAATTGAAAAGTTAAGAATAATAACGAGGTTAAAAAATGTAAATGCAAGGGATGAGTAAGACGAGGAAGAGGAGAATGCTTGCTTAGCTTAGCATTCATTTCAGTTCACAAGCCATGCTCATGATTGCCAGAGATAGAGTCGACATCAATGCTCCGCTCAACCAATCACGTGAAGCGAAATGTTTGTCCTCATGTGACGTCCCTTCGAAATGACGAGATGGAAATAGACCCTCCCGCTTTCTTCAAGGTGAGCGAAGATTTGAATCAATGACAAAAAAACAGTGTGAGTAATCTGTAGCCAAGCTTTTTGTCATGAGAAATACCACCGGAAGGGAAGGCTAGGCAGGCACCTGACGTGTGACCTGTGATTATTAAAGCGCAACCGGAAAGCTGTCTCTGTTTGACCAATATATTGGAGGTCACACAATGAACATTGGAGCAAGTAGATTGCATTGCTCGTGTCACAGTCGAAATTGCCTTTTATCCAGAGAGTGAAGTTCGACGCAGAGCTCTTAACAATACGCGACGTGGTCATGTGGGGGCACACCTTGCAGCGTGCCTTGTTGCATGGGTGACACCCCACTGGGGCTGGCGTTGATAGTTTAGATGACGTAAGTATGTCTCGTAGGTTTCTCGATCGGCGGTAAACTGCTCGTGGAGGCTCCGGGAAGACGTCTTTGAGACGATTGCTCTGCATTAGTATGTTGTAGTGCTTTTTGAGGATCGCGTTAGCATTTGGAATTGACGGAGAATGTGTCAGAATTAAATTGATGTGTTTCCGGTGCGCAGGTTCTTTATTTGATTTTAGAAGCGCTCTTCGGTCAATTGCATCGGCGCGCATAATCGCATTGTCGATAATCTGGGCGGGTACTGTTGTACAGTTAGGGCATCACGAAGCTCATCACAGTTTTCAACAAAGTCTGAATTTTCAGAGCACAGTCTTTTTGAAACGAAGTGCTTGACTGTAGGGTATACTCGTCTTACAAATGTTTTCACATGGCGGCTTTTGAATGAAGGTATCGGTGAGCTTCGGTGGGTTTTCTGTATACTTTTAGTAGATAATTTTTCGGCCGCAAAGGGATACTGTTACATCCAGGAAACAAGATGGATGCCTTCGAGTACGAAGTTGACAATGAAAATGGATTGGATGAACCGTGATAAAGTCTGCAATGAAAGTCATTAGTTCCGCTTCGCGTGATGCCAGATAAAAAATATGTCCGTCTATAAAACGTTTGTAGTAATATGGCTGTAGTCTGCGCGTTGAAAGAAAATGATTTTCCAATTGGCCATAATAGATTTCGCGTAATTTGGACCAATTTTGGTGCCCATTGAAGTGCACTAACTTGTACGTAGTGAACACCGTCAAACTGAAAATTGTTAAACTCCAGGATGAGTTTTAATAATGTGGCTAATGTACAGCTATCAACAGATTTGTCACATGATGAGTTGTTATAAGCATCCACTACTGCACGAATGCCGTCTTTGTGGGGAATATTAGTGTAAAGTGACGCAACATCTAATGTTACCAGAAATGAGTCAGCAGGTATATTCAGGTCGATGATGTCAGCGAGGAAATGAGAAGTGTCCTTCTCATTTCTAATTTCTAATTCGATATATATATCGTTTTTCGTTTGCTCGTTCGCTTCTTCTGGTGACTTATATATATATATATATTATATATATATATATATATATATATATATATTATATATATATATATATATGGGATATGGCACAACGCGAGCGTTGTCAACAAGGATAAATATATTTATTTTCCAACAGTTTCGGGAGGGGTCCTCCCTTCATCAGGGGGAAATAAATATATTTATCCTTGTTGACAACGCTCCCGTTGTGCCATATCCCATACCTTCACGGAGACTAACTGGCCCACTATATATATATATATATATATATATATATATATATATATATATATATATAATATATATATATATATATCTATATATATATATATATATATTTCTTGAAAGTCTTCCTGGATTCCGGTCGAGTTATAAGTCACCAGAAGAAGCGAACGAGCAAACGAAAAACGATGCTTTATTGCCAACGTTACCGCCGGGGACCGGCCTTCGTCAGGGCATGGTGACGAAGGCTTCGTTCTTCTGGTGACTTATATATATATATATGTTTGTGTGTGTGTATGGGGGGATGTGTGTTCATGTGTTTCCATGTGAAGACAATATCACGACAAGTTTAAACAATGTCTAGCGCTGGCAAAGAGGCAATGTCTCGTTGCTGCTAACTTTCGTGAGTCACTTCGCTACACCATCAAGCCTAAGAACTCAAGGTTCGAAAAAAAGCCCAATATTACAAATTCCTACTAATAATCAACACTGCATAAAGCGGAAATACTTGCAATCATTACATGATCAGCATACGGTCAAGAAAAAGCAATTCACTATAGACAAAACAAAACGTATCTTCGACCAACGGATATGCGAAGCGTTACTGGCGTGACTTGTCATAGGTACGTCTCAAACGAAGGCGTGAACGGCTCTATTAGAAGCCTGTTCTGAGGTCTTTTAGAAGGCTTGATTAGCGGTCTGCGGAAGGGAAGAAGGAAGTGCGAGACCACAGAATTTCTGTAAGAAGCCGTGATCGGGAGGAAATTAGTCATAGGAAAAAAAAAAACAAAGTGAACCCGAACATAAATCTGAACAATAAGACGAAGACTGTCACTTCTGCTTGAGCAAGGAGATACGATGACTCATTTTGCCGTCAACATTTCCTGTAGTGGTTTCCAAGTATTACGACTCTTACTGCTGTCAGTTGCGATGGAGCGAAATTCAGTGCATTATCTTCAACGTGAATGGTTGTCGTCCGCTGTGATCATGTCCTCAACTACCCCAGATGCCATATTTTTCGCGATTTCTTTTTACGGACTATCCCTAACGTGATTATAAGAGAATGACGACGTACACGTTTTGCCCAAGCCACCCGCCAAGTACAATATTTTCATA